CCCCAAAACCCCAAAACCCCAGCAATGGAAAATAAAGCAGAAAATAAAATATAAAAATTATATAAATTATTATAATATGATTGTTGAAACCACCTATATGGCTAAATGCGGAGAGGGTACTCCGATGTTCTCAAGAAGAGGAAAGTCAACTTCAGTATAATACATGGTATTCAATACTCCAAACATGGTGGCAGAATCCTCTTTCAAGAAAGAGCAGCGAGAAAAAGAAAGTGGTTTCAGGAACAATAAAATAAGCGAACTAGACACTATTTTCGAGCAATTTAATGTAAAAAAAAATTAAATCATAAGCCATTCATGGACTAATTACCTATAGATTGATCAAATGGATGATATATAAATCTAATTACAGAATAAAAATCTCTAAAAACAAGCAAATCAGTCTCAAATTATGTCAGTTTTCAAATCAGTTCCAAGGGAGTAGTCAGCATTTTACAAGGTAAATATAAGAAATCCATACAAAAATTGAGTGTCTTTTAATGAATATACTGTTTAGATCAATAAGCCTACTGTGCCACTCAATGATGGTAGATACAATGTGAATTTCAACTTGGTTAACAAAAAAGAGTTAGAAGCTGACATAGCATATAAGGAACCTACATAGCCTAAGCCAAAAACCTTCATTACTCCATTCTGCCTTTAGCAAGAATAGTACGACATAATAATGTTATCAATAAAATTATTTATTTAGAGAGTGTAACTATAAGACAAGAATGAGATTCAGAGGCAAAATTGATAAAAAGTTGCTATTTGAGAAAAATCAGCAGCATACTAATACAATTGATATGCCATAATTTCTTAACTAGACATTTACTCCTGAGGATAGAGTTGGCAATGATATTAGTCTTTTACAGAGAAGAGACACTTTATCTGGAAGTTCCCCAAAACTGTAGTAACCAGATAGATCTCTGAACACAACTTTATTTACAATGAATAAGGTAACTCCAATCAAAGAGGCTAAAGATTACAGAACTTTCCTTGCATATTCTAAGCTGAGTTCTCATGTTAAATCTCCTCTTCCCTTTGAAAAGATAGCCAAAAGAGATCCAATCACGAAAGGAATGGTTGTTAATGAAGAGAGATTTACTACATTTAATACAATGCCAGTCATTATTTCTAAATATCTAAAATCACCATCTCCAGACTTTTCTAAGACAACCAAAGGATCCTTAGATGTATTTTTGAAGAATGAATCATAAATGGATAACGCCTAAAATTAAAGCTACAATCCTAATTTTGAATTCTTGCAAAAACCATTGACTTTGGGAATTCCAAATTTTAATAGATACGTCTCAAGAGAGGTTTAAGAAAGACTTGAGAAAGATTTGAATCGCCCAGACAACTATGATCATGACAAAATTAGTACAGCGATTTCCTATCTAAGTGACTATCCCAGACCTAAGCAGCAACTTAAATTCGACACTATTCCTGGAAGAGAGGATAACATTATGTATAAGAAGTTAGAAAAGAAAGAGGTTATTCCTGACTCAGTAAGTTTTAAGGACTTCTTGCCTAATCACATAAAATATTCTCCTTTGAAGAAACAGCATGCTCATTCATTTGTTAGTGATAAATTCCAACTTCGAAGACTGACTCAAAACAGCAGTGAGATGGGTAACAGAAGAAATAAATATGATGTGGAGTAGTCTGAGATGGAATAACAACTTTATAAAATTAAGTATATAACGCAGTTATGATTTGATACAATTCAATTTCATTCAAAGTTTGAATCTAAGTGATAAAAGTGATTAATCATTTATTGGCTGGGACTAAGAGAATACTTAGTCTCTCGAAAACATTTAATTATTATGATGATTAAGATTAATTTAAAAAATTTTTCTAAGTTCATATAGCTATAGTCATAATTAAGTTAAATATACACCTAGCAAACATTTACTATCTATCTTATAAATCTATTTATAGCTTATTGAAAGATTCACTTTCTTCTAGTTGGTACATAATCTTCCATTCCCGTAACTGGTTGAGGTACATTTTTAGCCCAATGATCAATTTTCTAAATGTAAATAAATTAATAAGTAATCTTTACCAAGTTTTTAAGGCTAGTAGGTTAGAATCTTTAATCACTTCCGCTTCCATATGGATTGCCAGCAATCTTGTGTTAGGTGTCTTAGTCCATCATCGTATCATTATCAATCATCAGATTATCAAGTCTAATCATATTTCCTTAAGCTCCAACTGGAACTATCTTGTTTGACTTATAATTATAAGGTATTCCACTCAATGCCAAATCATCAACATTAGCTTTCATATTCTGATAAGGAGGGTTATTGAATGATTATATCATAGATCTTTCAGTGTTCTGCCTTTTAACTAATGCTGGATTTATCATCCTTGATCTATTCCATCTGACAAGTATAAAAATAACTACTCCAAGTATAATTACTCCTCCACCTGCAGAACTTACTGCAACTATTAATGTCTTATTTTCCTCATAAAAACTAGGGGAAGTTGAAGCTTCTTAGTACGTACCTTAAACTATGGAGTAACTGATACTAAGAAAATTGGTCGTCTTACCTGCAAAGGGAAATGCAAGAACATACAAAATTTAGTTATTTCCTCTAAAGGTATGATTCCTCTAATCTAAAGCAGAATATTTCAAGACTGTTTGAGCTGTATCTCTCGAGCTGCCAATTGCAAAAGATAGATAGAATCCTGTAATAGTGTTAACTCTAATCTAAACATGAGTGTCTGCACTCCAGGATGAGTTCACCTTAAAACCCCAATAGCACATCGTACTATTACTTCTAAGTACATTAGTTGTATTGATGGTTTGAACTGTATTTGAGGGAGTCAGAATTAGGTCTTAGACACCTCCACACTAAGTATTAGTGACTCCCAAACAATATGTATAATGCATTTCATTACTAACAGTAGCAGCTGAACATGAATCAAGTGAACTGTCAATAACTTGGCATTCGTATGAATTAGAGTAATTATTACAGCAGGATCCCCATTCTCTTCTTTTAGCATCTTTGTGACTGCAAAAATAAAAGTTTGGCCTTCCTGAATCCAAACAAGTATAGCATGAATTTTCCAAGTACGATTACAGTTATCTTTCTTATTTTATTGAACTATAGACTATTCCTAATTATAGAAATAAGACAGAAAGTAGAAAAACTTTCATTAATATTTCGATAAGTTAAATTATACTTATTTATAACTTTATCTTGAAATCATTACATTTGTTAATCTACCAAATGCGGGGTTTTGGGGTTTTGGGGTTTTGGGG